TTTGGATGGAAGCAAACTGCTACAACTCCTACAAGAGGTGACAATGTATTGGGCTTAATATTTTGCCAGAACATAAATCCTGTTTTGACAAATGTAGGCTCCGAGTTCCCACGAAGCGGTCACAGTGCGGTATAATGCGCACTGCCACCTCCTGCAACTAGTACTTCAATTGGTACTTCCACTACACAATAAATAGTATGTAGAAACTACGGTAGAACAGATTGGCAGCAGATGTGTCTAATGATTAAATGCATTGACTGGGGATCATTCTTCACCACTACAGACCTCAAATTAACCATTGATATGTTTTACTACAACTCTTAAACCTGTCTCGATACCGGTGTTCCACTGAAAGGTTTTGAAACAATGCCACTAAACAATAAGCCACATATACCTCCCAATGCTCGTAGGAAGTTACGCAAACTCTCAACAAGACACTACAGACATCATGATATCGATGCACTTCGGTTGATTCTTGGTACTCTTAACTCAATCTCGCATAACCATGATTTGCGTTCGAGGAATGAAGAGTGGTGTACTAGATAGCTCATCTAGAGTATATGCTCTATTAGCACTCCTTAAGAAGCGATCGAACTGCACAAGACAAAATTCCTCTTCTTATCCATGACACCAAAGCTCATAATGATCCACTGGATGTGTGTGAAATATTCAGCGACTTATTTACAGTCGGTTATCTGGAACCTACAAATTTTTCTTGTGACACTAGCGCGGTCTGCACTTTTAAAAGCTATTCTTCTCCTCAACTAACGACAGTAGATAGGGTGGAATTCACATACTTTAATATTCACCAAGCCACTAGAACGCTAAACTTCTCCAGCAGCGCTGGCACAGACGGAATATCACCACATTTCTTTAAATTCGGTGGCCCTGATATTCCACTGTTATTACTTAAAATATTTTCCCTCTCTTTGGAATCTTTCACATACCCTGACATATGGAAAACATCATTTATTCTCCCTAGATATAAATCTGGTTCAGGAACACTAGCCAGTAACTACAGACCAATGAATATTACGCCTGCAGTTTCTAGAATTATGGAGAAAGTTATTAAAGAAAGCATTCCTCAGCACATGCTTAGTAGCAACACCATCACATCGAGTCAACATGGGTTCCTAAAATCGAGGTCCTGTATAACTTGCCATTTTGACTTCTTTAACTCCATAACCACTATGCGCGACCGACACCAGTTAGTCCTTGTACTCTATCTACACATTTCAAAGACATTCGACAGAATCGATCACTCGCTGTTAATAAGTTGATGACTATGGGAACTGACTATCCACCATTGGAATGGATTAAGTCTTTCCTCAGTAATCGCACCCAAGTGGCAAAGGTAGATTCATATGCTTCAAAACCTAGGCCAATCACCTCTGGTGTTGTTTAAGGCAGTGTGTTAGGCCCTCTTCTCCTTACTTTACACGTCAATGACATCTGCAGCTGCTTTACATACGGTAAACCATTCTTGTTTGTCGATGACCCAAAAGTTGCATACACATTCACCTGTGATAATTTATCCCACTTCCAATCGCTAATACGAAGGAAGCTCGATATAATATCTGCATGGTCTACTGCTTGAAGACTTCAGTTCAATATAGGCAAATGTGGCTGGATATGTTTTGGTGCTCCATCGATGGATACCCAACTACATCTTCAGTCTACGAAACTTCCTGTTCTTAAAAATGTATGTGATCTTGGACTAAGATGTTCAAGGGACTTCACATTTTCTGAAAAGGTAGCAACACAGACTCGCAAATCTGGGATCCTGATGGGTTGCATAGTTCGTAACTTCCACTTCAAAGTCAAGTTGCTGCTCTACAAAACTTGCATACATCTACTGTTAGAATACTGTCCATCCGCGTAATAGACAAACATAAAATAGAGGATGTCCAGAGGTATTTCACAGCTGGATTGTTAGGACACGATTGCAAACAAGACTACAGCTCCAGATACAGAACACTAAGTCTAGAAACACTTTGGATGAGACAATTCAAAATAATTAAAAATAACTGTGATAATATTTATTCCTGAATATACGAGCACACACCATTTTTACGGGTATGAATAAGCTTACATTACATTCATCCTCATGGAAGGTAATCTGAATCCCTATCCGTTGTCACTAGAAGATGTAAGTGCTGCATGTTCGTATAATAGAACATCCCAGCAGATTGAGTGCTCAGAAAGTTTACAAGTTGGACAAGTGGAAGTGTTGTCTTCGCATTAACAAAAAACCAGGTTTGTATCTAGACAATACAGGTATTACCTGGAGAAAAATAAAGCTTGAAGCTAATACTTCCACTGTAACGGTTTGTGCTTTTTGCTTGAGATGATGATGAAAAGTTTATGAGTTGTCTACATATTGTACTTCATTGACGATTCCAGGACTGTATAATTCATCCATGTTAACACCATTCCACAACCAAGGTTCATAATCTTGACGAATATAATGACTGAAAGCCAAATGCCTTTACTTCTCCAACTCCAGCATCCAGAAGCAATAGACTTGTTTGAATTCGCCAGACGGACTTTCAGAACATCTTGTCCTTCGTTTTCACGGGTCATGACAGCCTTGCGGTTGGTAAGTGTTGGACTTTGCCGGTCACTTTTATGATGAGTTAATCCTAGATTTTGATAATTATGAAGTTGTAGTCCAGTGAACACTTTTTATTTCTGCTTGTTGTAGTTAGGTATTCTGAACTTGGTAAAGCTGGTTATCCTGCATGAAGGGTAGTTTCAGTCATGGTCTGTTTCTTAAGTAATTAATTATCGATGGCAACAAAGCCAACGTTTAGAACTGAATTATTTTTCTACAATGAGAAAAAAACAGACAAAGCAGCAGGCGGAGAAAGCAACAGTTTCAAAAAGGAAAGTGTTTTCTATGTTCATATTCCTCCTCGCTTAACTTCCCTTGCTGTGACTTTCATTGTATATCCTTATTCTATAGAGTATTTAAAAATATAAATTTCATGCTGTCATGCGGTGTAGGATTTCTGTTTTTGATTACGTGTTGGGTGGGGCAGAATGTGCCGTTAGTTTGAGGTGGTTACTTATGTAAGTCTCCTCAACGCTTTGCATGAAAGGCCAGTGTAGGTGTGGTGGCTCTTATTACACAAAACCTGACACTCTTCTTTAATGTGTCACATGAACACACTTTTACAGCCAGTGGTGAGTTTTGGTTCGAACACAACAGTTCTTATGATCTGCGCAACCACGCCCATAGCGTCAAAATGAAATCGTTCAAGTCCTGTTTGTGCGCGAACTTCTCTGCCGTCAAATTCTCTCAGTTGTGGAACAGACTTCCAGCTGAAGTGAAGACCTCTAAATCAACCTCTGAATTTGGTCGGTTGCTGGCTGACTTCTTATCATCTGGTGGTTTTTCCAGCTTATCGAATACACCAGCAGTCTCGTTCACGACACTTCGTATACTTGGCTCTCTTAATGTTGCTTTTCTCGATCTAACCAAAGCATCTGACGGTGCTCCACCCACAGTCTTATTTCACAAAGTCGTGTCTGCCGGTACAAGTGAACCCGTTGTCTTGACTCATAGAGTACCTAGAAGGAAGGCAGTTCTGCACCAAGGTAAACAGAATACTATAGTAGCGGAGACCATCAACGCCAGATATACCCCAAGGAGCAATCTTGGGACAACTTTTGTCCCTCCTGTTTGTCACTGATCTGCCACGCGAGATATTCCCGCCCATCACCCTCTTCGATGATGACATCAAAATATGGAGAGTGATAAACGAAGAGGTTGGCTGCACAATGCTGCAAAATGACTAGCGGCGGCTTGAGCTTCAACCTGGAAAAGTGCGAGGTACTGCATATCAGTATATGTAAATAAAGGAAGGCCAACTTCCAGCATGTGCCGACCAACCGTACCATCACCGGAGTGTCCAGTGGGAAGTTATGCCTCGACTTCTCCAACACCTTGAGCACCAGCTCCAAATAGAGAAACGTGGCAACCACAGCAAACGACGCCGCGCTTTCTGGGCAGGCAGCTTGGCGACATCACTCCCGAACTCCCCCTTACAGTTTTCAAATCCTACTTACGGCCGCTTTTTAGGGGTCTTCAACACAGTGGCACCCTGAACATTGCAGAAAGACTCTAATCTCACTGAAAAAAATACAGAAGCCTGCAACAAGATCAGTTGTAGGACTGAAGTTAAGGGCATATTTTGAAGGACCAAAACACCTAAAACTACTTATTTTAGGCTACGTCAGAAAGAGCGATGACCTTTTTACGGCCCACAAGGTCATCCATCACATGAACAAACCAGCCTTGTCTGCAACACAGAGGTCGTCACGAGGGGACCCCAGTGGGATATCACATCAGAGGGCTAACACTATTCTCAGTTTCAACTTCATCTCGTTGGCAGTATGCGCCTTATGGGGTGCCCTACTACGGGATGTGGTCATATCCCCCTCGGTAGACCAATTCAAAAGACGGTCACACAGTGATGTCATTTCTCATGGTTTACCACTGACGCACTTGGGGGGTCACTTACCTCCCTAACTCACTACCATCTCTCTTCTACCTACCACTCACTACCTTTCTTCCTGACACCTAATTTGTCTGCTTACTCTTCCCTAGCAACCTCATCCATGTTATCTACTTTCATCTTTCGGGTAAGTCCCACATATTTTTCCTAATTCTTAGTATTCCTACTCAGATACCTACACAGACTGGAGTCACGACAGACCCCTAAGCTTCCCAGTAGCCTGTAGCTCCCCAGTCACTTTACAAATTGGAATCTCCCAACCCATCAAGCATCCACATCACTGAAGCTAAAAGTAAGAAAGCAGAAGAGATTTCCTTTTCCACTGAAGGAGAGAACGGAACAACTCGAACAAGGCTCAAAAAGCCATCAGTTTTCTACACTCACATTATCATCGTTGGTTGTCGTTGGAAGAGCTAACCAATGAGCAGTGTTCGTCATTTCTGAATTTCTAGCTCTCGCTACAACAGCACATTTGTGTGGGTTTTTTAACTGCTCTAGGTCGTTTGTCAATTTGCTGCACGTTAGTAGTATCGCAGGATTGAGGGGAAAAACTGCAGGTGAGACTGTATATGTGTATCTGTATTGTTTGAGAAGCAAGATGCACCTAGAAAATATTAAGTAGACTTTAGCAGATTACCACTGTGGTTTCTATTTCACTAATTAGTGTAGAATGGAAATGTGGTGAGAGTGTATGACCGAGTGAGGTTGTTGGAAGATAGGTTTCCAGGGTATCGTGAAAACCTAGCGAAAATTAATTCTCTTGCGACCAATTCATATCAAACTAGGAACAATATGTGTAGAGAATCATTTGAGTCAGTTGGTGTGTACACATGCGAAAGTTATGTCTGTCGCGAAAGAGCCTCGTAGGCAAGAAACTATGTAGCGTCCAACTACGTAACAATGCAACAAAAACTTAATCACTTTTGAAAATTTCTTATAGCACCATAGTGGGCTCTGTGTATTGAAGATAATGGGAGTTTGAATGTTTACTGTGTAAATATGTGTGATGTTTACAAACATCACACTGAACGCATGGACGGGAAATATCGACTCGAGACTTGATATATCATTGCTAGTTACAATATGTCACATCAAAGTACTGTAATGTGACGCGCTATGGTCTAAGTAGACTGTAGCGCGTCAATTCTCAGTGAAAAGAACTATTACCTATTAGCCGACGTTTTGGTCATAATTTCAAAGAAAGTGCAGTGTTTCTTTTATTATGTGTCTGAAGGAACTGCCTACACTTGTCTTGACAACGAATTCGAAGCTTTAACTACCCCCGCCCAAAAAAACTAGGCATGACAGCAATCCATTGTATCACCGGTCGGTTTCAAAAGCTTTCTCCAGTCAACATTTGGATAGCCTACTTAACATAGTTTTGGGCTGACTTAAAACCATGGATTCACCTATCGCCCATTCTCGAAATATTCAATAGCTTATCAATTGTTGTTTGTTGCATCTCCTCTCTCACTTTCTTTTTCTTGGGGATTTTATTGTCCTTCAGCCTCTACTTATATTCATTCTGCCATATTCTGATTTGCACTCTGTGATGTTTTTTCTTCTATGACCTGGCATCTCAGGTATGCTATGATGGTAGTTCAACTCTATGCACTGGATACTAGGCTGTTGTGCAATCATCGATAGTATCATATGGTTTCGTTCTAGAAAGTATAACCAAGACAGTAGACGAGAATAACCAACGAGTTGACTAGTCGGAGGAAATCGGCAGCAAAAATATTTGTAAAATCAAGAACATGACAATTATAATAATACGTCGTAACTTTTGTAAGATAACCATCAAAATGTTGTTGCTTGTATTATAATATTGATATATAAAATCACTAAGGTTACCTTTATATTCTGCTTCTCAGTAGATCGTTCGGTCTCCGTAGTTATGAAGCTAAATAAATCTTATGACATTAAGATAATTACGCTTAGTAATATTTGGTGGTTGAACAATATTACTCGTCATGCAATAAACTTTCTACAATGTACTCTTATTTCTCAACATTCAAACTGCTTGAGAAGGCTAATTGAAGTATTAGCTGGGTTGTAGAAAACGGATGTCATCTTGGCTGACTTGTTCCAAGCTTCAAGAAACGAGAGGAGACCGCCGAGATTTCGTTAACCATATTTCTTATTTCTATCAGGTCTCATAATACCGATACACTTATTGCTGCTAAGCACTAACTGTATTTCTTCGCCTGATGGTATCATATAACTGCATTGACCGGATAGGTCCGATGATCGTGTCTCAGTGAGTTTCACTTGAGGAGTGCACCACTTAACTGACAAAGGCATTGTACTCTATCACTCTTGGTCGTGTTATAACCTACAGTGTAAGCTATCGGATGAGTTGTTGACGTTAATGAAAATTGACTTCTAAGTAGGACATTCGTAAGTTGACCTACAGCCAGTACGTACGCGACACCATAGTTCTGTTCAGTGAAGACGTCGAAAAGATACAGAGGCTTCTTACAAATTGAATGACCTCTGGAGAATGGGATACGTTTCTTTTCAGTTCAATACTAAATGTTGCTTCAGGATTGTTCTGAAATAACTGTCTGACAATAAGGAGTGAAGTGTATGAGTGTTTGGTCCACTTCACTTATTTGGGATGTGGGATCAACTCGGATGGATCAGTGACCGACAAAATATTGTCTTGAATACGGAGTATTTGACTGACGTTGACTGACCATGACACAAGGCACCTGTGATGTCTCCGATTGTCTAATAAGCGTCGGGCATATTGGGCAGTAGTTCACCCTTTTCTGCTATATAGCTGTGAAAAACGATCATCAAAGGTGGAAAACAGCAGAAGGCCGCATGTGCTCAATCACTGTTTGCTTAGAAACATTTGCTGTGTCTTGCAAATACCACATCGGTAAAATTGAGTTTAGGCATAGAGTCTTTGATAAAAGATGTCATTTATTTGGCGAGGTTGTGAGCTTGAAGTGATTCGGATGTATATTACGTATACCTCGTTATCGTGTACTTCAATGCGTGATATTAGCAGTAGAGCTAATTTGGCTAAAGACTAGTGGTTCAAAATGCTATTCCTATTCACTTACATGAAAAGGAAGGCTTGAGCGAGGAAATTGGTTTTAGTGATGATGGTTTCCGTTCATTTCGGCCTGCTAATGTGAGATGTACCAATATGAACTCCTACTTAGTGATACTTCTCTTTCTGATATCAGCCTACTGTGTTTTCTCTTCTTTCATGATCAAAAATGCTGGGGCCTTTCCAACTACCAATAAAGATATGTGCTCATTTCTGTGGTTGTTTTCGGTTTCAAGTTTAGCCGTCATAATAATTGGTTTTAAAGCTTCTTTTTGGTTGTTTAGGCGTGCATATTTTGTCGGGCCAATGATGGGATTTATAGTGTATGACATGGTTGTTATTGTTGTTTTGTCGAAGCAATACAGCATTATGTTACTACACAACCCACTAGCCTTTCTTGTATTTTTGTATTTCTCACCTTTTGTTTAGTAGGTTTCTTGTCTACCATGTTCTGGAAAGCTTCCTAATATAAATTATTGCTGATCAAATATGAAGGAGTTTTCCTCAGTTGCCATTCATTTCTCTTGGATGCTACAATTCCTTGCAACTTCATTGTTATACGCTTCGATTATTATACCTTCGGTATTATTACATACCTACTTTAAGAAGAGGTATCAACTACACTTATCTAATGGTAAGTTTCGTTCTTTTCAAAATACTCATTGCAGTCATAGATACAGTTAAATCTGTCACGATTACCATGCCATATCTGCTACAATATTATTCTAACGCAATTCATTGCAATAATTTACGTTCAGTACTGAATGTCTGTGATGGTTCATGTTGTTTCATTCGATGGGTAAAAATCAGATTATCACAGTTCTGTCGCTAAAAGTCACATCAAGATGCAGCTGATTAACGGTGATTGCTATCACAGTCTTCACCGTTCATTATTCGCATTGAAAAAGTTGCTATTCGTGTGCAGAATTTGGTGTTATCGCTTTAGTTACATGAGTACAAAGCAGTGAAATATTGTTTTGCATTAATTGTCCTGGTTTAGTTCCTAAAATATGAAGCGAAACATATATTTACCTCATGTTTAAACAGTTAAATGGGTCATTCGTCAACTGCAAAGGCTAAACAACAAAATCTCAGTCGTATCACTTCAATATTAAAGTTGACAATTTCCCTTTTTGTTTAACTGGGATCGTTCTTTCGACTAGCTGTTTCTTAAATGGTAACAAGATTGGTTAGGTATAAAAAAGGATGGTTATATTTAGCACAACTATCGTCGTTGTTTGTTAGTTTATATTTGGTGAGCTTTCTTAGTGGTAATGTAAGGCGTCATTTCTGTGAAATTTGCGAAATCAGTCTCTCAAGTAGAGAGTAAACATACAAGAATATATTATCAGGTATATTCAGCTTGAAGTTGCTCACTGGATTGTTGGCTTTGTATCCTTTATACACTGCACATATGTCAGGCAGATGTATAGATCGAATTGCGTGGAGTGAAACCACAATCATCTCACGATATGTTAGTTTATTCTGATTATGTCTAAACTTATACACCATTTTGACTGAAGATTTCTCCTGGGATTATATCAATATTTTGCCATGGGTTTCTTGTGTTTTGCTTTGCGCAGACATATTCAATATTATTGGTGCTCCCATCGAATTTTTTTTACGAACAGTTGTTTATTCTCTGTTCATACTGAAATGGAGAAACTGTACTTAGTAACCAGAAAGATAAATACTTTGCCTCACTGTAATATTATACAGGCTAATATTTGCAATTGAATTCAAATTAGAAAGAATTCCAGTGAATATGTTAAAGTCGGAAGACACCTAAACGATTTGAAATTCATAAATGAATGCAGTAAATCATGACTGAATTTTACATCATTATTTATTATTAAGATGGCCATACCACACCCACAGAAACTAACATCTAACTAATTGAGTGTGACTTGAACAGTTTGTTTGTTACGACACAGCAAAATGTAAAGTTCTTCCATTTGGTAACTGTTGTACATCACCACCACGACCACCAAGCACTCCCTTCAGGGCTCTTTGGAGAATGGCATTGCTATCACATTCAGAAAGAAACGGAAAATTGGGTAATCCTTTCTAACCCTACTATTAGTTTTGAGAAATGGAGTAAGGTGAAAGTAATAATAATACCGACAACAATAATAATAATACTAACAACCGCTTTATTCCAAAAATATGCCTTCTACAGTATGGAATTCTCAGAAGTCCACTACCAGAACAGTATATTCAAACGAAATGATTACTGCATCCGAGTGGTGTTAATAATAGCACTATTAAAGGCAATAATGTCAAACACTCAACTACTGTTGGATTAGCTTCCGATCTAGAATTGAGGATGTACAGAAAATTGAACGCATATTCGGGGCTGAGGGTCCATCTAGCCAAATCAATAATCTTCCACCCGAGGAATGGAAATATGGTGAATTTTCACACAACGAAGAGTCCATTTTCATCGAACTTGACATTTTTTTCCCTTTGGTTATCTACTCCAGAAGCGGCTAGCTGAAAACACTTTAAAACTGTGAAAGAGTACATGGAGCGTCCTGAAGACATAATTGAATAATTAAAACAAATTAAAAGCAAAGAATTTGACATAAATTTTCGGTGGGGAATTTTGGTAGCCAGGTTATACTCTCATTTGACGTGATGTGTTAAAGTAAGAGGCTTTCAAGATGTTAACAAATTTCCCATTGAAACTCGTCTGTGAGAGACTATTTCAGAGTATAGTCACGTCCAACGAATCAAGGACAGCTCTAATATGGAGGAGTACGACGATCGTTGGCCTACCATACGTGTGACAATGTTAAGGCATCTAGCAGAGGGTGAACACGTGACCAGTGTATCCACGACGTTAGCGAAGTCCTGCCTGCTCTTTGCGGATCAGATTATCTTGCATTTTTCACAGCCTGTGAATTATCATATCAGCCAACACTGGATGCTACCGGTAACAGACTGAAATATCGACGGTTACGTAGACCCCTTATAAATATGAGTAAGACTGGCTTGATCCAAGGATGATGGAATGCCCTCAGTCTGGAGTACATTCTCAAACAGTTTGGCTAATTCCCTGATTACAGTCTCATCTTCATCCTTATAGAGAGTCCGAGGTAAGATATCTGAACTGTGCTATATTGCACTTTACTACTTGGAATTCCTTACAGACCTCTGCTTCATTAGGTGGGTTTGTCTCAATTTACTATTGAGCACAGTACATAAAGGTCGGTGTTGCTGTAGCAGTAGACCAGCTGAAATGCTGTCTAAAGTGCACCATCTAGAGTTTCAGGCCTATAGGGAAATTGGTGACCAGCACACCGTCTACTTCACTGACATCACGCTTTTGGCTACCGGTTACTCCAATACATTGAAGTAGTTGCTGGCTATTGCCAGATGCAACGTCTGCGTCCACATCGCTCGAGTGTTGTGATCACCAAATCATACAGATGGTCTTTGGTGTGTTGGGTAAGGGACTAACACACAGCATTGCACTCCCTGCCTGCCAGAATACACCGATGAGCGTTAACAGGCTCGCGGAGACCTGGTGTTTGCTAGACGGACTCTTTTGAAAGTCTCAAAAATCTTTATTCTCCGTTTTCATGGTGTCTTGTAAGTGCAGCCAGTGCTCATCTATACTAGCCCTGAATCTAGTTTGCTTTAATACTTAGTTTCAATACTTGGTGTAACCAATGTGTTTGCATCGATGTGTTTCAGAGGACGATTTTGATGACTGCCAAGGACTTAGCATATAACAAAGCGTGGTCATATTCTAGAAGGGTGCTCCAGAAGGAGTAACAGTCCTGAATACACCCATACCATTGATAGCTGATTGCAATATTATATCTTTAAATCTAGGCTTGAGTGGCAGAGGAAGGACGCCAGACAGCTCATACAATGGCTGTTTCGGAAGTTGATATTAGCTAGAAAAAACTGTAATCTGCGCAAAGCTGCGGAATATGTCGCCCATTATTTGACCTCTTATCGACAAGTCTTCATTGGCCACCTAAATGATGTTCGTCTGAGCTTAAACTCCCAACCTGTGTATTCATATACACAGCTAAAACTACAGTATCTATCGAATGCACCTAGTAGCGAATGTCACACAGTTGGTGGTAGGACTCATTCTTAACTCCATTCAGACTGCAGTCTGTCAGGGAATAGGTAGAAATGACGGAGTCGTCGTTCCGCTTGATAGTTACTGCTTACTCCTATCGAACCTTCTAGCCTAGTGGCGCACATATGACTGTTGATGGGGATCCAGTCGACTAGTGCATCTCCACGTCTCGCCCTTAGTGTTCTAGCTGCAGAGACCTCAGAGAAACACACTAATTACCCTTGCTTTGATAGATGGGGAAACTGTTCGAAGCACTTCGCTGGGATCTTGCATACAGATCTCTAAGATATAGCGTACATCAGTAGCTAGGCTTTCCCAAATCCCAGACAAACTTCCCGGTTATTCGATCTGCATCACGATTTAAATCTTAAAGTTGGCCAGTTTAAGCTGCACATGCAGTGCGTGCAATTTCATAATAGTTGTGTCAGATATCTTACCGAAGAGCAGCTTTCTGAAAGAAACTGTTTAACAACTCGAAACGATGCTGACAGATCAGGATTTTAGTCAGTGATAACCAGATGAGTGAAACAAAGATACATGTAAAGATGAATTAGAAAGTGATAACGAAAAGACAGCATAGTTTGAGTTAAAATAATGGCGATACAAAGACATGAGAATGATCCAGGAAACAGTTCGTTACATCGTGATTTTTAATTCATGCAGGAAGATTCGATGGCTTCTTAGTAGTCTCAGTTGTTAGTGTTGATTCATAAATTACTGGTTGATAGTTTGTGTCCTAACAGTAAACTGTTATCTCAACATCTATTCAATTTGTTCTCTTGTTAATCATAGGTACTACTGATTCTTGTTCTGCAAAAATGGTATACATTTGTTTTGTATCCGATGTTGATACTTCAGAAAATGTTAAAAAAGTTCCACAGATTGATTTACCGATCCCAGTTGTCATGTCTCCAACTCGACTTGCATCGCAGTCACGACTGGCTGAACTTATAAAATCTATAAAATCTTATCTTGGTTTTGACCGCGACGCATCATTAAGAACTTCACAACAATATTATACATTATTGGGGTTTTGTTTTCTTGGATTACAGTCTTCTTATTTATTATGGGGAGTTTTACAAGTAAGTTTTGCAATCTTTCATTATAATTAACGAATATAAAATATCTACTACTTTCTTCATCATGGGAAGTGCTGTGATCAGCACTTCATTGAATATATATTTCTTTTGTAGGTAATTGATGGTTCATGTCTGTGAATACGTAGATGACTAACAAATACTAATTACTGCCCTTCTAATCCCATGGAGTTCAGTAATTTTAACACTAAACACTTCATAAAATATCAAAAGCAGTTCATGTTATATTGAACTTTTTATGTTCAGCGATGTCGTATAAACTCAAATAGTTGATGGTTGTGTGCCACCGTTACTAAATTATATATTAACAGACGTTATAGCAACAATCTTGAAGAATTGGGTGGTAAAACATCGAACTTTATCGATGGATAATGTACATATTGGTGGTACATTTCTTATTTGTAACGAAAACTGCCATGATAGGTGAACTGCTTAAATAGTTTTCAAATTTGGACAAAGCAAGAAGGATGAGATTTGAAGAACAATATTATACCATTTTATTTCACGAACATTCTTCAGCTGCACACAGTCTAAAAGTACTATGGTTATCAGCGCATAATATATTTCAAAATTAGGGAATCAACCATCTTAAGTTGTACAAGGAAATCATTGATAATTCGTATCATATGTAGGGTAATCAATTCTATATAGCTATGAAGTGTAAGAAAATGGAAATAATGAATAAATAAAGAGTTATACAATGAGAACGAAGCAGGATCCAATAATGTGAGTGAGAGACTAACCTCACTCCTGTATGCAAAAGTCAGGTTGAAGGTGTTTGTTTGTAATCACTTCCGCGAAGCGCAGTAATCCAGACATTTTCTGTACGTTAATTATTTTAAAAGCACTAGACGCTCCAACCTGATGTACTGTGTCTGCGCAGTGTCTGGCAATTGTATTGATTAGAATATCACTTCCTATTAGGCACAGATTCTTGGGGATATGCCCAACGAGCTGAATGGATGCCCTCTTCTCATTCCTTTCAACATATTTGCTACCGCAAGTACATGAGAATTCATAAATACAGTTGGCCCGATGCTCTGCCAACTGAGCTATGACGTCCCACTCATGACCACATTCTTATTTCACTTCAATCACAAGTTGGGTTTTGCCAGACTACCATGTGAATTCGTAACGCCTTACTACCTTTGATCGTATTCACACTGGCCACCTAGTTACAACTTCACATCCTAATCTAAATCTAACAGTATAAATACTAGTCTGCCAAACCACGACTATCTCAGATAGTCAAATGATAATCAGTATGATGCCCTCCTGTCTAATTCAGTTAGATTTCGATTGGGATGAGAAGTCCTAACTAGGCAGCCAGTGTTAATACGATCAAATGATAATAAGGCGTCACGAATTCACATGGTAGTCTGGTAAAAAAAACCCATTTGTGATTGAAGTGAAATGAAAATGTGGTCATCAGTCAGACCTCGTAGCTTAGTTAATAGAGCATCGGACCGGAAACTCGGTGGTCAGTGGTTGGAATCTGGTCGTGGTCCAAATTTTTACTTTACCTTCAGTTATCACTCAGTATAAATCATTATTGGTAAAGACGTAGTAAGAACCTAGTGGACTCCGCTAACAAGTAGATGAAAATGCAACGTGTGTAATCCCGGGGTAGTATATAAGTACAAATAACAAAACAAACAAATATTTTTTATTATTACTCAATGCAATGAGTCTGCCTCTACCTTCCATCCTAGCACTGATATTTCTGGTTAGATCAGAAGACAATTTTTTTGGTTAGTTTATTGACAGACTGGCATTTCAGCTTAGGCACATGGATTATGTCTCCATCTTATCAAGAGATAAGTTGAGGTAACTCGGCATATAAAAAAGAGTTTGAAATCAACTGTTCTTCGTTATAATTTTCATAGGAATAGTTTAGAAGAAACTCATCAAAGAAGCATGTCTCCTACTTCTCTTTTACTTTATTATAACGTATGGGTATATAACAGTAACTGTTTATTCGGTGGATATAATCCAAAAAAAAACTTGGATAGTACTTTACTTGAAACAACTAGACTAATATCATTTGCCCAGTCACTGAATTTCAACATAGAACTTGGCATTACTGTTTAACGATCCAAGTTGCCGCATCTGACATCAGTACTTCGAGACATAATATGATGTAATGCTTTGATCTAAGCTCATTGGAACGTTTGTCACTATGAAAGTAAACCAGTGCTTCAGTGGTGAACAGAGGTCATAATACTTGCGGGTACAATGTACGGGTTATATATCTAGTTATTAGTAAAAAGAAACTTATAGCTTTCTAAATCATAACTGATATTTTTCGCAAAACTGGCTGTCATGTCAAAGATTATTCATCTCCTATTGTATTCGTTATTTCGTTCGTTTTATAGTAAAAAGCACCTGATCATGATTTTGAGATGTAGAGAGTGCTGTAAATAATTCCATATAAATCCACTGACTTCCAGAATATCTTAAAACTAACATCACTTAGTTGTTTTCTGTTAATTACCATTATAAATTCACCTGCCTGAAAATCTTTCAAACCTTAAGAGCTATATTAATTTAGATTAAACAATATAAATTATGTTTCAATGAAAGTATTTTCATCAGCAACATTGCCATGGTTGTTTTTGATTTCATACTTATATATGTTGCTTATCACAATATTCAAACGTATTTCTTCACATCTGTATAACTTTTCAAATTGACCGTGCTTACTGACGATGATTGAAGTGTGTAGTAAACATGAATCTAAACTATTTCGGACTAGTAAGCTATTAATTACAAATTCTCTGCTCTTCTGAATTAGTTACCAGACATAACTGCTTACCAGGTCTATATCACACCAACTGGACCAGAAAATGAAATGATGTAAAAGATTTGTAGCTCAAGATGAGACATTCACAAGAAAATATCAAATCTCAGAGAACACTAAACCAAATTGACATGATTATGAGCAGCAAACTCTTGTGAAAACCTCATCTGAAAAATAATACTATATCACTTCATCAAGTGGACTAATACAATTATAGGATGACAGTGTAATGTAGTGCTCAAATTCTATGTTTATATACAAATCCTGTCAATATTATTGAAAACGCAACTATTTTTGTTCTCGCCAAGCTGTAATTAATAATAATAATCGCTTTATTCCAAACAATATGTGTGACAGTATGGAATTTTCAGCATGTAGTTTTTCAACAAAATCACTCTCAGAACAACGAAATGGTTATTGCACCGAAATGATGTTAATAATAATATGAAAAATAGCTAGCTGCTTCTGGATGGGCATCCAATCCATAATGAAAAACCAACAGGAATGAAAACGTAATTTTGTTGGTGGCCTTTATTTAAACGGTATAAAAATCTGCAATTTTTTACACCGAAAAGTTCATTTCCACATAACGTAACACTTTTTCTCTGTTTTGTTATTGATTTGAGAAACAGAGAGTTGGAAACAGTTTAAAAATGTGTAAGTGTACATCATACATTCAAAAAACATATTTAAATGATTAAAACAAATTGAAAGGGAAAAAATTGATAAAAAAATGTTCAATGGATAAATTTAATAGTCTAAGGTTCAAGCAGGCTGCATACTACAAATAGATTTTTAACGGAAAGTTTACACAATAATAAGTTTTTAATCCATTCCACAATGTATAAACTTCTTTTGGATACTGTAATTACTTTCCTTTTCTTTTTTACAGGAACGAATTATGACTAAGATGTATGATAATGAGAAGTTTGAAAAATCACAATATTTAGTCTTTTGTAATCGTGTAACAGCATTACTTATCCTAATACCTTTACACTTTTTAAATGTTGGATTTATTGTTAACCCTTGGCAAAAAAAACAGAAAGCACCCTTTGTTGAGTTCGCATTTGCTTCTGTTAGCAATGTAATTAGTAGCTGGTGTCAATATGAAGCGCTGATCTACATTTCCTTTCCTAGTCAAGTGAGTAGTAGTTTGTTGCTGTTTATTCCCTTCATGTATTTATCATTACAAAAGGAAAATATTTTTTTATACTTTTTATTTACATCTTTAAAAACTTGTAACTGTGTTGATGATCACTTGTTTCTGTGTGTTATAAAATACATTCAGCTATCTTTTGCACATCCATGTAGTAGGCAACAAGTCACATGTATTGTGTGAAGACTGTCTAAACCTCAATAGGTGGATTGGGGTTCGAACCTGTGACCCACTGGTTGGTAGGCATCTACTTCAATCACTGACCCAGGGCTCCACATAAATGTAGATATTTCGAAGTGATTCTATTTTGTTTGGATTATACTTAGGTAATTGCACTGAATTATTTATTACTTTATTTTGGCATATTTTATTTGTTTTAATTTGGGGGTTTGTTGGGATTTAATGATTTTTTTCAGGCTGGTATTCATTATGAGTTGACATCTGTTGGAGAAACACTAAATCCCCACCAACCCCTAAATTAAATTGATCTAGTGCTCATTGGTGACTAGCTTTGAGAGGTGATTCCTGAAGTTTCAATGAGAAGTAGTGACCATTGGGGAAAACCCGGTGGCTATGAGGACAAATACTCAATGATGACATTGGGTCATGATCGCTCTATGTCGTGAACTGACAGAAGTTGGAAATATAAACCATTGGATTCCAACCCAGTGGCTCAATGCTGACGTGTTGACCAAGGAAGGTAGAGGTCATGGGTTCAATCCCTGGAGAACGGGGTCTTGGGTGCGCACTCCTGTGGAGTCCCATACTAGGACGAAACAACTGTCTAATGCTCCCAGATTTCCAATATTCCTTTAATGGATGTTAGTTCATAATGAATACCAACTTGAAAAACCTCTAAATCCCTATAAACTCTCAAATTCAACTTATGGAAAAGACTAAGAATTTCTAATCGACAATCGGAATAAGACAAAATCAGCTGCCTTTACAAAATTCAAGAATAGTCAGAGAAAGGTCAACCAACTGATGCAATAAAAGTACACAGTCAAGAATAATGAGACTACCAACACTGCATCACCAGTCGTTGATGAAACAAAGTAGACTGACAATCTCAACAGAAGTAAAGATGCTGATTAACGGGCTTAACTTCAGTGTTTAGGACATGTGTTTTCTGATACAAATTTGAAACAAGTAACGAATGTGAAGAGGAGTACGATTTAATGAGTTCATAGATTTCAGTTGGACTCTTCAGCTGAATACTCTATATACTAGGGTATGTATTTTGTCACACCTAAATGGATGTCTTACTCTACGTTATATGTGTACGTTCTCTTGCATTGGTTAGTTGTATGTGTACTGAAATATGTAGTGTCCAATGGACACCTATGAATAAGGTATTATAACAGCCACAAAGGATATAGTACACTGAATGAAGGCGTTTCTAGGTGAGTTGGAATGGTTTAATATCATGTTGACAATTGATAGTCCCATTAGACCCATAGTAGATTTTAGAAACACTCCAACTTATGTGTTATGTGAATGTTTGTAGCAATGGTATTAAGTCCAAGAAAAACCGTTCTAAATCTAGATTTACTGATTCTTATGACTTGTAGCGTAGATTAACTGGTGTATATTTGATTGACAATGAAAAAATGGTTAGTTTTGATGTAACTAGTCTGCATACTTATGCACCAATTGACGTGGCAGTTAAAATGAGCTCAGAGGTGAACATGAACTTACCCAAATCATCTAACTCTATGTCAGTTAAAGGTAGGCTCATTAAAATGTTTAGATAACAAGGCCAAAATACTTAGTAATAAGACCTGAAACAAGAAATCAGTTACATTAACGACACCTTCCTTCCCACCCTGTTTGGCTTACCGAAGGTGAGCGAAAAAAAACAGCTTCATCTTAATGTGAACACTTAGTAGAGTTAGGTCATTCAGGACCTCGAGATTCATCTTTTAAGGTAATTTACAACGTTAAATTGAACTGCTCCAAAGGTTCACGTTTTCACTACTTATCCATAGTTGAAGCATTAGCTATACGTGAACAAAAGCCGAAACTTTGCATTCAGAAACGCTTTGTGAAACCTCTTTCTCTACCTTGGCCTTAATAATTCATTTTGGTTATTTTGTAAATTTCATTTCACTTTAATTTTGTATACTTCTCTTTTATTATCATCATTATCAACAATTTTCACTACATTGACGACATTTAACCCATATTTCACTATTTCATATCAATTCATCCCTTATTCATTGACCCAATTTGGATGCTTTAGTTTTACAGTCCTTTGACATCACATATCTCTCATCTCATCACTTGTTATCAATTCATTCCTTATTCAGTGACCCATTTTCTATTTCTTCCACTTGAACAAATACCACCACTTACACCGATTGTGTATTTTGTATATTGGTTGAGCAATTTTTCAGTGCAATTATCTTTCATTTTACCGATTGTAAATACGATTGTACGGGTTGATAAAGAAGCCGCTTAAAGGAAATATTTCTTCGCTGATACATATCATGAATAAATGAGTATATTTCGTTATCCCCTATTGAATGAATCAATGCACTCATTAGGAATTGTTGGAAAAATATGACTTATTATGGTAACATAGGTCTTCAAAATAATAACAATAATAATAATAATAATAATAGTGATGATACTGTGAATTCAAGACCCGTTTATGTTACCATACAAAGAAGGCACCTCACTTAGAATTCTTAATAAGATTGTGATTACAATGGTATTGGTTTAGTAATTCTAATTGATATTGCATAAATGAATATTCAGTTGCAAAACAATTTGTATGACTTTAGTAAAGGTGTATGATCGAATAGTTTCGCAATTATTGACTGCCGAATGAAAGTCAATTGATGTGGGTTTTATTTATGTAACTGTCAGATCAGACCGTCAGTAGAAACGTTAGGATTGGTTTATTTCGGACACTGAGGTTTACACATATAATTCATGCATAAATATTGTTTTTTATAGAAATTGTATACTTCATTTTATTATTGACAGGAAGAATGTAGTATAAATACACCTGCTGACCTGTCTATAATAATCAAATTTCTTTTAGGAGTTTCTGTTTCACTTTGAAGATTTCTTCTCGTCGTACTGTAGTCTGCTTTTTTAACAATAATACGAAATGTCGGCACCGAGAATTACATTACAGTGTGTATAAGATATTTTTCTTTTCTACATAAATTTAGTTGAACTATGCTTGAGAAACAGAATCGTTTAATTGTTCAGTATTCTCCGACCTTAGGTACTCGATCGTAAATGTTTCATCATCCGATCCCCTGAAACTGTAAGAGTTATAGAAATATGAGGCGTATATAAATAATTAAAGATGATGCCATATCATAAGCGACAAATCTCTACTATTTCGATAAGTATTTTGTGTAAATCCTCATTAGTTTTAGAAAAAAAATTTCCATCCTAATGTGCATAACTGTTTATGAGTATGATGTTACTAGCTGAGGATATTTTTGAATACTGTTCTGATTATCCATGGCTGCTGTTTTGAGAATCGTTTCATCCTAGATGTTTGCCAGTGGGCTTAATTTCGATCAGCTCATCGAAGAAAACTTTATGCTTCCTCGACCTGATCTCCACTCAAATTGATAGAAATAATGTATACTTTCCTATTTATTTTCGTCATAGACGTACTAATAGACGTAATCTTAGTTACGTCTGACTATACAGAGGTCGATCTGCTCCCTAGAAGACATGGGGTTGACATCGGGTATACAGACGATATTGTTGTGTTGGGTGAAGACGATAACAAAATGCAGGGGTTTCTGAACGCGTTGAGCAAAAATCTTGATTATGTTTGACATAAGCTTCGCGCCTGTCAAATGTATGATGATGCCTCAGGACTGGTGTTCAACTACTCCAAGTTTAATGATAGGGAATGAAGTGTTGGAATGTGTCGACCACTTCATATACTTGGGGAGTTGCATCAGCCCGAACAGGGTAGTCGCTGATGAAATCTCAGCTGAGATACAAAGGATCTGTTTGGTATTTTCTAACTTGTGTCGCCTATGGTATCGACTGGCGATATATCCGACTATACATCGAAGGACAAGCATACTGCACTGCAATCTTTCCTAACCTCTTATACGACTGTGAGGCATGACCGTTGAAAGCAGAAGACATGAAGTGGTCAAACGTTTTGATTATAGGTGTGTTCGTGGCATTGCTCGTGTTTGATTGGATCACCGTGTAAGCAATGTTGGGGGTCACACGAAAAATACCAGGCAGGACAGGTAAGTCGATTGATGAGGTTGTGAACTTTCATTGACTGAGGCGACTTGGGTATGTGTTGCGCGAACCCATCCACTGGCTGCCTCAATGTGCCATGCTATGGGAAGTTGGATTAGGTTGGAAGAGGGTTTAGGATGGCCAAATCAAGACGTGGCACTAGTTGATGAAGTCCCTGGCTTTTCGTGTGAGCCGTGGATGGAGACATAGACTACATAGCTGAGATTCCCAAGACGAAAGGAATCAGTGGTTGAGGACTCTTGGTGGTGGCATGGCTGAAAATCAGTCATACTGGCGCAGATGTATTCAGTCCTGGGCGTCTTCTAGAGCTTAAATATTTGCACCAACCGTTTTCTTCAAGTCGTTCAGTTTCTCACAAGGTTTTCCCCCCTTTGATATCAGTCTTTTCTATCCACTTATTCTTTGCATGCTACTTTGAAGTGTGGCAACTTGACGTTGATTTTGTCCGTCTACTTTTTGTCAGACCACACTTAAAAAGCTTTATGATACACATATATATTTTCACATCTTACACATCTCTACCTTATCAAACCAGTCCTAGGGCTCGTAAAAAGTGAACAATATTAAAGGTGAGGGTCAGTCGTTTAGGCAGGTGCTTCATGACTCCGTGGCATCATTTCGAGGTGTCTTTTTATCTTGATTTTGTTAGGTGGGTCAGTGTAAAGTGATTATGGTACATAAGACACTAAATTTGAAGTTGCTAAAGCGTAAGGGCAACGAAATTACTTTTTGAAATGTTCTACCAAGCGTTCCAACTGTCTTCGGAGGTTCATCGTCATCAGTATCAACATACGACCAGGAAGTACTACGTAACGGTCTTCGGAGGTTGTTTATTAGAAGTACGCTTCACACCTCACTCCATCTCACTGACACTAAGACTTTGACTGCCAATGGTTCAGATACGTTGACTGTTTCCACATTCAGCTACCGTTTCCATCTTACTTGTAGGTTGTGATCACCAAGCCTCCATGACTTGCCATGTAAACGACTTTTATATACCCGTCTACTTCTTGTCTGTCGAAATGCTCTAATGAGAAGCTACAAAAAACTCTCAGACTTAGTGTTTATTAGTGAAACGTTCTTGAAATCCGCAAGATCATTTTAATGACCTCTTATTGAATCGAAATCCACTCAGTAACCTTGTGTACATTCGTGCATTAACAAGTGAACTATACCTATTGTGTGAGAGCTACTAATACTACTACTTGGCTGCCCGAGCCTCGATAGATGAAACTGCATTCGAACCTGTAACCCGTCGGTTAGGAATCAAGTATCTAGAGCAATAAACCACAGCTCTACATGACCTCTTGTAAGTAAAGCCACTGCATTTATATACTCCTTGGAGCTTTCAAAACTAGTCTTCTGTCTGACTTAATATGTTATCAAGCTACAATATTAAATTCAGCTAGTTTTAATGACGTCAACTTGTTTGAAGCCACAATCTGAAAAACCACATAAACACACTGAGGCATGATCAACATCCAAACAGATGTTCCAGATGGAATTCATTCTTGAAATCGATCCCACTTTCCGTAGCTAATCGCAATATAATCGTCTTAGGTTATAGAGTTAATATTCGAAATCAGCAGAAACGATTTAATGACAATAAATTGAATGATTGACTTTGATTACTCCCAAGGAGATTTAGTGATTGCTTTGCAATCCTCATGGTTACTTTTTCCTCATGAATTCTGTGATGGTTAAGATACTGTTGAGACCGAGGCAAGTGATTATCCTAAAGAACAATTCCTCTTAATTTTAACTTGAAGTCCTATTCAAAAAAGTGAAACAAAATCAGATACTGAATTCTTATGATTACCGATGACTAAAGTAGGCACATGAATCATTCTTTCATATTGAATCCTGAAATGTATCTACACCGTTGATTTGGAATCAAAATTTCAGAACTCTTTAAGATGAACTTACCATACATATCCACCACTCATTTGATAAGCGCCAAATTTTCACTTTTATGGAAAATCGTCATAATCATCTGAATTACTTACCAATGATACTGTTTCATGTAATTTTTGGCTATAGGACATGAATTGTGCAAAAATTATTCCCTATTTATTACTAAATTACTTTTGACTAAAGAGATAAATGTATCACAGTCATGTTTCAAATTGATGAAATCAGTTTATCATTTATCTTACAATATACTTTTATTCAAATACTAGGTTATTCTCAAAGCATGCAAAGTTTTACCGGTTATGTTTATGGGGAAGTTTATTCAGAAGAGAGTATACAGTGGACGAGAATATTTTACGGCCGGTAAGTAATATTTTCTTTGACTAATATCATGATATTGCATACTTTTAAATATTAGTCATATATTCACGCCATTGGTTTATAATCATCTATTTACAATATGAAAATGTCATAAAATGGGAGGAGAATGAGGGAGATATGCTGCACTACTTAATTGAGAATATTAAAATTAAACTTTCGGATTCCACCCAAACAAGTGGAGCTTAATGAACATACAACCTTAGGCAAGTTTAAGTTTGTTCGAGTTTACACTGTTTACATAAGAAAAATAACAAATGAAAGGCGAACTACATATGTATTGTAGCGTAATACGATGTTAAACTATATAGACAAAATGGATTTTATGCAATACCAGTGGAGCTTCTCAACAATTAATTTTTAGCATTCTACAAACGTGCTTGAGAAGTGTAAGTTTATTATGTAATAGTCTAGCCACCCTTGTCTCTTTTTCAACCTGATCCCAGTTTAACCATCATCACACATTGAGATGTTTAATGATCCCAATGTTTTAGTCAATGAGAGCTTCTGCAATTTGCAACTACTGATGTCAATCTTCGATAAAAAAGTCAGAAGAACAACTGCGAAAAAAAAACAATACGTCGATTTATTTTCTCCAGAAATTTACAACCTACCCACACGGATACAAAAAAAAGGCTAGTCGGAGCAGTTCAACTCTACATTTTCAGTTATTAGGACTTTAGTGGATTAACAAGATAGGCAAACCGTAATACTATGAGTGCACATTATTATCACATTCTGTCAATCCATTTTGTTCAGCAACTTAGCTGGTACACATGATTTTCTAAAAGTATTTTAGACTCCTTCATCAGTATAACGTACGATCCAGTATTAATTTGGTATAAAGTTATTCGCTTCAAATCGGATCGATTTCCCTCAGTAATAGTTGTTCTGTACTTTTCTGGTTTACACTTAGAATATGGTATTGAATTTGTTTGGACAAAAATATTTCAGCTCTTTGAAAATCCAAATTATGATTCAAAAGACATTTGAAAAAACAAGAAAATATTCTTTTCAGTAACTTTTTAAGGTTCTACATTTATATGTTTATATTGTATAATTTTGCGTTAACAATAGTAGGATTTCAGATAACAGTTCGTCAATATTGTTTGTTGCGGCTACAACTACCTCGATCTCATTCGGGATTAACAAATTCCTAAGCTTCCTGCCCATGTACCCTAATCTACAACTTCCACATTTTAATACGATGCTAAGATTTCGCACTGTAGATATCCCCCCTACAAGCTGAAATAATTAAAAACCTGTTAGTCCCTTTATTGGATATATATAAAGTAATAAAAGGAGGAAGGTTATCTGAGAAAGATGACGCATTTGGAACACTAGTCGCACATTTACTTGTCAAGGCATTTCAGATCAAGGCTGAAAATACAGTGGGGTAAATAAATTGAAATAATACAAGATTTGGGAAATATAGGGATAATAAAGAAGAGAAATACATTTCATACCTTCCTTGGCATTGAAACGAGATAAAGACTACCAAGAAAGGTTTATGTTAAGGACAATTTGCTGTTGAATATACAAAGGGGGTTTAAACTTTCATATAACTAAGGCTTCAATGAGCCTAAGTATACGGTCTTGATGGCTCCTAATATAGTGGTCTAAATGCTGTTTTGGGGTCAATCCTGTGACCTGTTTATATAATGTGTTTACTTGTGGTCAATGAAGTATTGCTCTTCTCTGTATTTATCGGATTATTTGAATGTAATTGTCTCTCTAGAGAGACAAATTGTCCTTAACATAAACCTTTCTTGGTAGTCTTTATCTCGCTCCAACGCCAAGGGAGGTATGAAATGTATTTCTCTTCTTTATTATCCCTATATTTCCCAAATCTTGTATTATTTTAATTTATTTACCCCACTGTATTTTCAGCCTTGATCTGAAATGTCTTGACAAGTAAAATGCTCGAAATGTATTATGAAATAATTTTATCACATTCTCTTAACCAATTTTGTTCCCTAACATAAGTAACATTTTAATAAGCTAATATTCTTCATATTACTTATCCTTGTTTATCGACACACTTGAAAGTGAAGCAGAACAAGCTTCTGGTAGGAGAGACCTGACAACATTATATTAAATAACCAGGTTACTATCTGCGAAGAAATTAACACACATGAGACCAATGAAAGATAGTGAAGGAAACCTAGTTACCAACAAGAAGAAGCCGAAGAAACGATGAGCCGACCACTTCAAAAAACTCATGAATCGATCACCACCACCACCTGCAACTCGTCCAGAAATACTACCAGCAGCCATGGAAGTATCAGTGAACACAAGCCTTCCAAAAAAAGCATAAGTCCTGAACACCATAAAGTTACTGAGGGTCGGGAAAACAGCAGGACCAGATGGAACTCCTCCAGAAGCACTGAAAAAAGAAGCAGAGACAACAGCGGACATGCTCATACCACTTCTCTTACAGAAGGTTTTGAGGTAAGGAAAGAAAGGTACCTGCAAATTAAAAGGAGGGCGACCTAAGTCTTTCCAAGAACTGGCGCAGAATCATACTCCTGTCCATCCCAAGCAAAATATTATGCCACGTCATCCTGGAGAGTCTAGAAAATGCTCTGGATTTAAAATAGCGACCGGAACAGGCTGGATTCAGGAAGAACAAGTGCGGATCAAATTGCAACGCTACACTACGCATCATCATAGAACAGACCAGTCAACTCTTTACCCCAACTTCATCGATTTTGAAAAGACCTTTGACAGCGTCAATAGACAAGTAATTTGGAAACTGCTGCAACACTAGGGAGTGCCGCAAACCTTTATCAACCTCATTCAATAGCTATATGCTACATGATGCTACATGCCAAGTGATTGACAGTGGAAAGCTCAGTGACGCCTTTGCAGTGAAAACAAGAAGCAGTAAGACAAGGCTACCTACTATCACCAATGATCTTCCTGATCGTGGTCGACTGGACTGGATCATGCAACAAACTGTGAGGAGTGAGATGAGGGGCATGCACTGTTTGACTGATGAAAAGACGTTGAAAGATTTGGATTTCGCCGACGATTTATGCATGTCTACTGTCTCACGAACTCATGATCTACAAGCGAAAACCAACAAGTTGGTAGGGGATGCGGCGAAGGAAGACGGGACTTCAAGTGAACGTAGAGAAGAGGGAGGTGATGAAGATGCCCAAGCAACAGCCACAACAACAAGCACAAATCATCATGAACGGACGAAATCTAAAGGAAGGAGCCTCTTTCACCCATCTAGGCAAGGCAACATCGTTCCAACTACAGGTGGTGGCACAGATGATGATGTCTGAGCCATAATCGGAAAGACAGCTAGAGAGGCCTTCAATAACCTAAAATCAGTATGGAGATCTACTGCACTCAGGATGAAGAAGAAGATCCGGATTTTGAACACTAATGCCATTCAAGTCACTGCTTCTGTATGGTTCAGAAACTTGGCGTGTCACGAAAAGGATTACTAACAAACTACTAACATTCATCAATAGCTGCCGCCTACACTCACTTGATACTGAAGATCAGATAGATGGCCAGAAAGAATAAGCAACAAGGAACTCACTCTGGTTGGCTGGCAACGAACCAACCAAGAACCTATCACGCAACAAATATGCAGACGAAGAAAGTGGAGATGGATTTCGCATACACTGAGAAGGCCGACTGAGGACATCACACACCAGATCAGGCCCTCGAGTGGAAGCCAAATTGGAAACGACTAGCTGGGCGTCTGAGGCGAGGGTGACATGTGAGGAAGAAATGAAACCTTGTGAGTATTCGTGGAGCCAGGTTAAAAAGACTGCAGAGAACAGAGTACAATAGAGATGTGCTACTGAAGCCCTATGTTCCACTAGGAACTTATGGGACTAATAATAATAATAATGCATGATCAGCCTTGATTTCGCTAAAGAACTTCATCTAAGATGCTAACTGGTTACCTAGATCTCTGTTAGCAAAAAGGCTTCGGGGCTAGCGGTCTCCTGATTGAATATAGATCATCCAATCGAAAGAAATCTAGTCCATCGAGGACGACAACAGCAACTATGGAATGTAAACTGTTTTCATTTTATCTTCCAACACTCACTAATAGGTTGTTGCAACTTATCGATAGATGAGTGTGTTATTAAATATTCAAGTTGACATTTATGTTTTCTTTCATGGAAATGTATATAAATACATATATATATATATTCTTTTTTGCCAGCTATTATCTGTCTAGGTATGATTTTGTTTTTTTATGCTGATCCTGAAAAACATTATCTTTCAAACGGAGAAACAAATGCTCGATTTTTAACATCTCTCAGTGGATATATCTTGATTTGTGGTTATATTAGTTGCGATTCTTTTACGTCTAATTGGCAAGACTATCTTTTTCAATCCTACAAACTTACTTCATTACAGGTTAGTGAAAGTGAATAATTTCTTTCTTTGTTTTTTAGGTCATGGCATTTATACATGTATTTGTTTGTTGAAAGAATATTTGACAGAATTTCAAGTGTTGTTTTCTCGTGTGTGTGTGTGTATGTGTGTGTGGTTAACTTTGTATACTGTATGAAATTGTATTACTATCCTTTACACATATAACTGTTTACCTATATAGAAATTCTAGAGGTTGTTTTTATTTCTCAACAATGTTTTTCCAGTTTTTAATTAAATTTACCCATTGTTTGTTATATCCACGCTAATAAGGGATTGGATTTCACTTGACTGATATATTTTTTACTTTGTTTAGTAACTTCATAATAAATAAATATCTCCAATATGAATGCATAAAATTGTCTGAATATACAAGGAATATGTCGTAAATGTAAAAGTTTACGGAATCATAAAATCTAATTTTTATGACCTTATGTTTTAAATGGTCTTGATATTAGCTTCTTGATTTTTCGTTCTCATCAGATCGCATCATTTTCATCCTGGTATATGTCTGGAATGATAGTCTTTCAATTAAGACTATCATTTAACATCAACTCATACACAAGAACTGATTAGCTCTGCTTATCTAATTATTGTCTGTTTCAATTCGAAGAAGAATATAGTAATCGAAATAACTATTCATACGGGGTGATAACTGAAGGTAAAATAAAAATTTGGACCACGACCAGATTCCAACCAGCGACCACTAGGTTTCCGGCCCAATGCTCTATTAACTAAGCTACGAGGTCTGACTGATGACCACATTTTCATTTCACTTCAATCACAAATGGGTTTTTTGTACCAGACTACCATGTGAATTCGTGACGCCTTATTATCATTTGATCGTATTTACACTGGCTGCCTAGTTAGGACTTCTCATCCCAATCGAAATCTAACTGAATTAGACAGGAGGGCATCATATTGATTATCATTTGACTATCTGAGATAGTCGTGGTTTGGCAGACTAGTATTTACACTGTTAGATTTAGATTAGGATGTGAAGTTGTAACTAGGTGGCCAGTGTGAATACGATCAAAGGTAGTAAGGCGTTACGAATTCACATGGTAGTTTGGCAAAACCCAACTTGTGATTGAAGTGAAATAAGAATGTGGTCATGAGTGGGACGTCATAGCTCAGTTGGTAGAGCATTAGGCCGGAAACCTAGTGGTCGCTGGTTGGAATCTGGTCGTGGTCCAAATTTTTATTTCACTTTTAATCATCACCTAGTACAAACACTAGTTTGCCGAACTACGGTTGTCTCAGATAGTTAAATGATAAAGAAGTGATTATCATTGTAATTAAATAAGTGTTTTATGTATTCGAATAAAATGTTGGCGGTCAGTTGTTTTGTTAGTCGAAACAAATGGGAAAATGGTCTTTCGGTCTTGATTTAACTATGGACAATAAATTAGGTACGACTAAAAGTTATCTCCATGTGTTTTAGCATTCTGTCTGAAAAAAAATATATTTTGTGTGTTACGTATGCATATATTCTGAAGTGAAAACTGCAATCATAAATCCTTTTGAGTGTAATTTGAAGCCTCAACTTACTGACTATGATCTGTGAGTATGATTCATCCTGAATAACTGTACTTACGTTTCGCCTAAGAAATGCAAGTGTAGCCAACACTTCGCACATGAATAAACGGTTTAAAACATGTTTCAATGACAGGCGGCATTGTAAAAACTACATAGTTAGGTAAAATATTCATAGAGAACACAGAAAATGTTTGTATTTTTGAAAACAACCTATCGCGAAAACGATAACACTTGGAAATAACTTTTAGCCTCACTCCAATAAATTATGTCTGAAACGTAATTCAGTAAACAATACTGTTCCACTACGTAATAATTTAGTAAAAATTGAGTAACATTCTACCACAGTGCACAAGTTTTACTTTTATATTAAATAAGAAAATAAGTTATCGTATCTTTGTACATTTTATCACTGTTAAATTTTAATTAGTGTCCACCTAGGGTCATGTAGATTTTGCATATTTCAGATCAGTTTATGTACTTTCATTTCCTTACCGATCAATAAACATATATGTTATTGCAGTTTGTAATAGTATTAATAACAGTAATACTAGTTTATGTGGGTTAGGTTATTTTGGAAACCAGTACCGTAGTTATGTGTGTAGAAGAAATGTGTACTTTACTAGTAAGTAGTACATTTCTAACATTGTAAGGACATAACTGGTACAATATTTGTACACCACGTTAATCACGTAGACGTCAGGCATAGAGTTTTAGACAGAAAGAAAAAGTACCATTTGATGAGGGTATGAACGTTCATGAATTGAGATGTCTGGGACATGTGTTCCGTATGCCTAGTCACTGTTCTCAGTATTGTACATTGTTAGTTGAAGTAGGTTAAGCCTGGACAAAAGTTGGAGGCCATCAATCTAAAATGTTGCACCATTCCATGAAGTATTACGCTGTTGGTTTGATCCCTTTCGAGGAATGTAAATTTCCGTACGAAACCACAAGCCTATAGTTGAAGACTTGTAATATGGGGTTTAGTTGATTTTATTGATTTCACCATTCCTTTGACACTAATGACGTTCTCAAGACAAGCTACTCAAGCCATAGTCAGTTAGCAGTCACTATCCGTAGTTATTGCGTCATTGGATTACTGTGTTTCTGCAAGATTGTCAAGAGCCTGTGCCTATGGCCGAGGAAAATTCGGTCCAACTTTGGCCCTTTTGTGACGTTAACCTTACTATAAAAGTCTGGGTACACAACGCGTCAGCATGGGCTGTACTGCCGTATGTTTGCGAAAACTGCCCCCTACGAACTGAGAATGATTGATGATTGCGTGCTGAATTATTGTTGTCTTCACAGGATCCGTCGGATCCAATAGAAACACCGTGTGTTTAGATGCGATGTATGTCGCCATTCATTCATTCATCTTGAAACATAGTTGGTTACACATATGTTACGCATGTTGTTCAGAAGGTACCCACACCGGTTACTGTTCACTTGCCTTGAGATGGGTTGGGAAAGAGGAGAGTTGACCAGTGTATAAAATGGCCCAATGGGATGAAAGATTGCTTTATTAAGTTAGGATGTGTAGGTGCCTTATGACTCACTAGTTTGGGTCCGAAGGATTACGCAATACTACGACTTGGAACCATTGCAATCATGCCCCACAATAGAAACCGCACAGGTTTGTTTCTCTTTATCATAACATTTTTCTTTACGCTTGTAATGTCTTTCCACTTCACATAGCAATTTTCATCTTAAATGATACAAGTTAAAGAACTTGAAAATTATTGACCACCGGACATTTGTTTGTCATCGTTTGAGACCAATACACGTATCGACTGAGTGAAAAGTTAATACCTTCAAGCCTGGGGGTGTGCTAGGGAGTGGTGATCATCCATTTTCATTTCTGCACATCTGGTTTGGTTAACTTTGCAGGCCATAACATCTTATTAAGATTTCGGAAAATCCCTCTCAAAGTCGAACCTCGAATATTTTTAATTAACTGGATGACTTATTGAACTCAACTGACAGACGTTTTGTCGACCTTCCATTCATGTAATGTAGATAACTCGGAAAATGTATACTTCTGTGCAAATTTCTGTGTTGTTGTGTTTGTCAGGCATATATTTTTGATTATCATTTGACTTTTTGAGATAGCCGTAGTTTAGCAGACTAGTAAAGCGTCACGAATTCGCATAAGTAATCGGTCAAAACTCCGCTTGTGATTGAAGTGAAATAAAAATGTGTTCATCAGTCGGACATCATAGGTCAGTTGGTAGAGCATCGGACCGGAAACTCGGTTGTCGCTGATTCGAATCCGTTCGTGGTCGGGATTTTCATTCCACCTTCAGTTATCACCCAGTATCTATTTTTGAATTAATCAGTGTGGAAGAAGTGGATTTATTTTCTCATTTATTATTGTTATTAGTCATAACTGTTTGATTATTTATTCTGAAACTAAATGTAAAGTTACTGTCTGATTGTTCATAGATGAAAGTAACATTCCAGGACATCTATCAGTCCTTGATTGATGTACAAGAAGCAAAATAGAAAACCATTAATTTACGACGAACAACTTCCTTTTCTTATCTGATAAGTTTCATAGGAGTACAAAATTTAGTGTAGAGGATTATTGTCCATCATTGTTCAACATTTAAAGTTTTTTTATGGGTGAGTATACGTTATCCACAGTGTCGGTAATCAATGGAATATGACCTCCAAATTGAATTATTTTATTGCTCATCGGTGACTAGCTTCGAGGTGAGATTCCCGAAATTCTGACGGATTCGAGCATGAGGATAGTTACTTAACGACGGCATTGAGTGGTGATGCTATATCGTGAACTAATAGAAATAGGATAAATGGACTATTACATTCCGACTCAGTAGCTCAATGGTAAAGTGCAGACCTACGATACCTGAAGGGAGGTGTCATATGTGCTCACTATTGAAGAGTCCCATTATTACATTATTATTTATTTGTCCCTTGAATTCCTAATGAAACATAGGGCTTCAGTAGCACGTCTCCAGTGCACTCTGTTCTCTAAAATTTTTTGAACCTGGTTCCACGACAGCCCACAAGCTCTCATTTCTTCCTCACACGATCTCCTCCATGTCACCCTTGGACGCCCAACTCGTCGCTTCCCACCTGGGTTACACTCGAGGGCCAGGTCTGGCGTGTGATGTCCCAAGTCGGCCCTCTCAGTGTATGCCGAATCCATCTCCACTTCCTTCTGCATATTTGTTGAGCGATAGCTTGTTGGTTGGTTCTTTGCCAGAGTTCCTTGTTGCTTATTCTTTCTGACCATTCATCTGATCTTTAGTAACGAGTCAGCGTAGGCAGTTGTTGATGAACGTCTGTAGTTTGTTAGAAATCCCTTTCGTAACGCGCCAGGTCTTCGAGCCATACAGAAGCACATGTTGAGTGCAGATCTCCACACTGGCTAATGAAGAGTCTCATACTAGGACGAAATAACTGTTCTGTAGTCCCAAGTTCCCAACATTTCTCCAATTGACCTCAGTTCATGATGAATATCAACTTGAAATCAATAAATAAATCCTCAAAAATTTTCAAGTTGAATTATATATTATTTGCTTTATTTTTAGGTGATGGCAGGTGTGAATATTGGTCAGTATTACTTACTCTATCATCATTAATTATCCATGGTGAACTCATTTCTTCGATACAATTTGGATTAAAACATTTTGAATTTAATTTTGATGTTCTTCTGTCATCAATGTGTTCAGCATTTGGTCAGTTGTTTATCTTTCTTACCATATCACAATTCGGTCCAGCTTCATTTGTATTAATCATGACATTGAGACTTGGTTTGTCAATGATACTTTCATGTATTATATTTTCACATAAACTACACCCTATAGCTATTCTGGGTATATTTGTAGTTTTCTTTGGTTTATTGTTAAGAATCTATGCACGTCAGAAAAAGTCTAACCAATTGAAAACTAACGATGACAGTAATTGTGTAACGGTACCTATTAGATAGTATAGGTTCATACAAGAGGATTTGGTGTTTCTTCCTTTCTGTTTCACGGTTGCTTTTTTCCACCCAGAAGCATCCATTATTTTCTTACACATTAGATATCTTTATATATTATTCTTACTGATTTAATTCCTTTAGATACTCGAATATTTTGTTGATCATCTTCATTATGCAAATGGTTTTTTAAACAATCAGCGTTATCGTTTGATAATATTTACTTTGTATCTGTGATACACTAGGTGATAGTCTTATTATTATGCGTTCACATAGAAATGCAAGTGAGATCTGATACTTTCTTTCTCTTATGAATACACTCCCTATTCTGTGGTGTATGTTTCTTTTCATAAGAATTATTTTTTATAATTTACACAATACACATACTATATTGGATTTCTAAAATCTGTGTTCTCAATACGATAGTGGTGATTACAATTAGCATGTTTCAAGTGTGTTTACCAGCGATAATTATTAGACAAATCGCATAAGAAATGCTCTCAAATCTGCTCTATGAGTATGCAACTCCCTATTCCTATCTACTAAATAGCATACAACTGTTGTTTCTTGTTCATGTTTGCCTCAAGCTACCATGAAACCTAAATTTATGCTCAAGTCTAAACCTCATTCTAAATCCATCTTCAGAAATAATTCATTCCTGAAGATAAACACCCTTCTCTTATTTTGAAAGTCTCTAAGATAATGTTATGAACCACTGCACTTATCAGACTCAATGTATTCTTGGTGATATATGCATAGCAGGGACCTATTAAGCCTTCCTCACAAGTAGGAGCATTGGAACAACACTTTAAATCACCTGAACACTTCAGTGTTGAAAAAAACATGACTTTTACTGATGCCGTGATCATTGTGATGTCAACTTCAGTATTATAGTCTTTCACTCTCATCTGTCCACACACCATTCGACCACGTAGTGTAACATTGTTCATAAAAAAGACGTGAATTTCCAGAAGACACTGGAGCGTGGTGTGCTCCGCCCACTATCGATCTGTATTTTTCATCAACATGACTGGATGTGGGCAGATTTTAGGTTCCACTATGCAGGCATGAATGCCACCGACAATCATCAGTACGTTTCCAAAACGTGTGCAGTTCACGGGTAACCTCCACTTTCACATGGCCGCCGATTCACAGTTTAAAATCTGACGTAGTGACCTACGTTATAAGCTGAGATATTCGCTTTCATATCCTGGTACAAAGTCACTGTCAACCGTGTTTATCGAAGTAGCCACTGCTTCATATGTGAAAATGGTGTATTACGTACATTTGCGTTTTGAGACTGTTGTGTAGCGTTAGAAATTGGATATTCAGCTCATCGCAGTTCCCCGTAACCTTGTTATTGAGTTATTGCACTGAATTTTCGAAAGAGTCAGTTGTACTTCTGTGTTTACTAGGTGGCCTGAAGAGTGGCGAATGTTGTCAAAACTGTATGACGTTGTACATGACAATGAGTGACTTGATGTGAAGTTGCACTATGGACGTGGGAGTGGAGTGAGTTCAACAGAAGCTGTGAGCTCGACCATTTATACATCTACCAAACTGACACTGTAGATAAAGCATTGAACACGAATTGCAGATGAATTGGCACAGATTTGTGAGGTGGAAATATTCTGAAACACGTGGCTGGCTGAATGGTTCTCTGTCTATCTCGTGTCTATTCTTATATACTTGTTAGAAAATTAATACTCCTCAAACTTCGATCAGTACTTCATTCAGCTTATTGAAGTGGCTTCGCCATCCATCACCTGATTGATGAGTGACAAATTCAATGGTGACATTTACTCTGTCTTCAACTTGGGACATACTTCTCTGTATGTTGAATTGGATATGTCGCTGGTACATTACAGTAATGAAAGCTTTCCTCATTCAGCCTTTCTTATTTAGAACTATTGTGGGTTTGAAAATAAATCGGTCGCCCGATCTCGTTATAAATGCGCATAGTTTAATGCGTACACTGTCTTAATTGATTTAGATGGATTTAAAATATCACAGAAACGCCGATGCTACCCGACTATCTAACACCAATCACATCAGTATTTCTAGAGAAATTTGCTGCTAATGTGGTTGTTGGACGTCTTGGTTACACATTGGAATTTATCACTTCCAATGTTTGTATAAACTCTGCTTCAAATGAGAATGGATAAAGATATTGACTCAGCAAAAATGCATCAGTTGGAATTTATGTATTAGAGTCTCATTGTTAGGAGTGATTGAATAACATGCTTGATATTCTTTTGCGACTAATCGTTTGTATTTGTGAGTATACTGGCATGAACTTCAATCATACACGCACAAGTGACCGTCAAGACCACCTTAGCCACTGCTGAACTAACCAATCTGGTTCCAGTATGTACATGGAAGAGGCAGATTTTCTTACAATTGAGAAACCTAATTGGTTATCTTAGTGGTTGCCAGGGTGTCGTTGAAAGTCAGTGGAAATCAACTTAATTCCTCATAGATGTGTGAGATGATTTGTCTAGAATTTGAATTCATGGCTTCTACTGTATTGATTCTTCATCTTAAATAGCTATTTGCAGTTGTCAGTTTTGTACTAGAATACTGGATGTACTGTAGAAGCGTAACGTGTTCTTTTATTCGTCGTTGCATCTTCAGTACCCAACCAAGTTGAGATGATCACTTGATGGACTAGAAGCGAAATCGTCATTCAACAACCTATTGAGCACATTCATGCTAATCACCAAGTCGATTTTTTCATTAACGACCAACTGGGTCATGCACATCCTTGTTTCATATTTATGTGGAAAAGTAATAAAAATGTTGATCGTTTTGAAAATGAGAAGAGGTCAAAGCAAAAGGGTGAAGTGAAGGTCAACATAACAACGATAATTAACTCAGCAAAAACGCAAGTGCACTGAGTTTTGTTGAAAGTCAAATTGAGGACAGAAGTTTTAACGTATGACAAAATGTTTGTGAATAATTAATAATTCCACTTCAACTTCTTTTTCACTGACCTAGGTAGGTTACGACCAATTAGAGAATATATCTACAACATGCTGTTTCTATGTGCTTTAAAGATGCACACGTATTTATTTAATGGTATGTGAACAATGCTTTGAGATGGTGTATTACGTACATTTGCGTTTTGAGACTGTTGTGTAGCGTTAGAAATTGGATATTCAGCTCATCGCAGTTCCCCGTAACCTTGTTATTGAGTTATTGCACTGAATTTTCGAAAGAGTCAGTTGTACTTCTGTGTTTACTAGGTGGCCTGAAGAGTGGCGAATGTTGTCAAAACTGTATGACGTTGTACATGACAATGAGTGACTTGATGTGAAGTTGCACTATGGACGTGGGAGTGGAGTGAGTTCAACAGAAGCTGTGAGCTCGACCATTTATACATCTACCAAACTGACACTGTAGATAAAGCATTGAACACGAATTGCAGATGAATTGGCACAGATTTGTGAGGTGGAAATATTCTGAAACACGTGGCTGGCTGAATGGTTCTCTGTCTATCTCGTGTCTATTCTTATACACTTGTTAGAAAATTAATACTCCTCAAACTTCGATCAGTACTTCATTCAGCTTATTGAAGTGGCTTCGCCATCCATCACCTGATTGATGAGTGACAAATTCAATGGTGACATTTACTCTGTCTTCATCTTTGGAGATATCTGTTGCATGTTCTGGAAGTCAGTATTACACTGTATTTCGGTAAACGCTTCTCATGATATCATTGGAATTGGAACTCATGTGGTTTTGAAAATCTGTCGGTGGCTTAATCAGTTTATGGATAGGCGTAATTTGGCGGTTGCTCTTTTTCTCTCTGTCTAAACGAAGTTTTATTTCCTCTTATAATTTTGCTTTATTTCCCAATATTTTATTTATGATTTGTTTGATCTTTCGTCTTACACATGAGCTTATTTTGCTTTAGTTTTTCCGTGGATTTTCGATATCTTCTATTGAACCCTTTTTTTTGCTTTTATTTTATTTGTTCAATTTTTGAATTTATGGTAGATTTGTTTATCTTGCTTTGCGCTTACTTCTTTTTTTCTGAAACGTTGCTGTATTGTTTCAGACATGCTCCCAGGTGATATTGGGACACTGTCGAAGATGAAGCGTTTTCATATCATTTATATATTTTTTCTGTTTCTCATATTCTCCTAGTGTTTGTAGTTGACATTTTGGTTTGAATGCCACTTAGAATGCCATTGCTTTTGCTCAAATCGCTGAGTAACGCATGGGTGTTTCACTATTCCACTTGGTGATCCATGATGAGGTAATATGCCGATTTCTTTCTTCTGATTGCTGGAAGCTACCCAGAGAATATCACCATCCCATTTGTTTTCTTCCTCATCCACGTCAGTCTTTTGGGTTTGCTATGCCTGTTATTTGTTTGGTGATTATGCTTCAACAGTGCTATAATTAACTAACGGTAACTACCTCTGGAGAAATGAAACGAACTTTAATTCGTTCATCGCTTTCTTGGGTGCAACATCACCAAGAAATTGCGGATCTCAGCTATGCGGATACCACGGCAATAAATCAGCATTTGATATCCTATTTCATTTTGCACAAACACAGTACGCTTCACATTGAGGTATTTTTGACTGTTCGGTTTTTTCTACAACTTATTGTAACCGTTTCTGGTTTTTCAATGATAGTGAGGAGATTTGTGCGTTTATTTAGGGTGAATGAAGAGATAAGACATTTCGTGCAGCAGTGGTGTTTTTTAAACGATTTGATCAAACCTTTGAGTAGTTATGGTGTTCAGGATACCATTAGCCATCTGTTCATTGAAAGAATGTAGGAGGAGTTGAAAGCTTTTCATGACAAGTTGATCAATTTTGGACAATTCCTATCTCTTGTCAAATTTTGATATCTACTTCGTATGGCTGTAAGTTGATATCGCTAAGATTTTTCAAGGGGCTAGTTGGGGAGATTGTCTTTAGGTCTTCTAAAAAATGTGACTTTCTTAGAACAGATGATCGAAATGCCGTACTCCACTAGGAATTCTGCTTGAGTTCACCGTGGTTTTCTTTCGGTTTAAAGGTTGCATAACTGCAATCTATAATGAAAAAGGAAGAAAAACAATAGGAATGAAAGAGGAAGTAAAAACTTTGTCAAGTCTCATTGATACATACATTTTTATCTTCATACATGTAGTTTTTTTGTGAGCTATAGTGCCCAAAGTTATGCTTACCATTCATTTTCGAAGTCGTCTATGAGAGCGAAGATGCGTTTTAGAAAAAATAGCTCTGCTATGAAACAGCGTCAATGCTGAAAGTTATGTTTTCTAGGTATAACATTCATCACTAGAGAAACGTATAATCAATACTGAATAGTCATTTTATAAACGTCTTAGGTTATTATTTGATCATCTGACATAAAGAATTATTAACCGGAGTCAGGTCACTTATG